GGGTTGTTATAAGTCGGATTCAACTCCCCGGCAGTGAGTTAGTTTTGATTTTTGGGATTACCCTTTGCTCTCCTTATGTTATTTAATCCTCACAAACACCTTGCATATCTAGTTACTCTACTTTACAAAGAAGAAATCGAGGCTTTAGGGAGGCTAAGTAATTTAAGTCACTGAGCTATATAAATGGTGGAGCTGGGATCTGAGCCCAGTTTGGCTTCAAAATCCATGCTTTTTGGAATGTGGAGCCTCAAACCCAGGCTAGATCTTTATAGCTGAAGATCTAAAGGATGTTTCAATCTATCAAGAAGTTCAAGGCTGTTCACAGAGGGCAAAGTGGTCTCTCTTATTACATTTATTCTTTTTCCAGAAACATAAGATGGCCCCATTGGGTAAAGGGAGAGAAGGACCCAATTTCTCTCTCTTTCTCTTTTTAAATTGTGATTTGGGTGAAAGTTTACAGAATAAACTTTTTCAATTCAACAATTCATACACATTTTATTTTGTCACATTCTCCACAGTGCAACAGCCCTTTTCCCACTTCTCCCTATGTTTACCATTTCTCTTCCTCCTTATTCCCTATCCATTCCTGCCTTCTTAGCTCTATCCCTGGATAAATCCTGCCCTTTTGATCTCATATGGTTGATTGTTCCAGTGAATGCATATCTTCTTGGTATTCATGGTCACCTTATAGGCCTATCTAGGAACTCTGGTAGCATAGTCCCTAAGGCACTTGACTGCTAACCAGAAGGCTGGTGGTTCAAACCCACCAGCCACTCCTTGGATAGAAGGTTGGGCAATCTACTTCTGTAGTAATACTGCCTTGGAAACCCAAGGAAGGGTCACTATGAGTGGGCTCCGACTTGATGGCACATAACAACAACAACAACAATTATTTGACTGAAAGTTGAGCCACAGGGGTGAGTTCAGTTCCAGGGTCTAAGGGCCATAGGGGTTCCACCTGTCTCTGTCAGACCAGTAAACCTAGTCTTCTTCATGATTTTGAGTTTTGTTTAACATTTTTCTTCCATTCTATCCAGGACCCCTTATTGTGATTCCTTTCAGAGCAGTCATCAGTGGTAGCCAGGCACCATTTAGTTCTTCTGGTCACAGGTTGTGGAGATGGGGTTCATGTGATCATGAGTACTCTGGACTAATTGTTTCCTTGTGTCTTTGATTTCCTGCACTCTTCTTTGTTCCCAACAGGGAGAGACCAATAGTTGCACTTTAGATGGCCACTGAACCAATTTCTTTTGAAGACATAATCTCAGTCTACAGGGAAAAGAAATACACCTGGATATTTAAAAGGTTGGTTTTTTCTTTTGTTAATACAAAATTACCTCCTTAATTTTCTAACAAAATTGTAAATTTATTTTTAGATATTCTTGATTCACTGTACATGTTTGCATGGTCAGCTTCACAGGCATACAAGCCATACATACATACATAGGGCCCTGCACTTGGTTTAATGCTTTGCTATCATTATACTGAAATTCTTAATAATCTTTGAACATGAGCCCCCACATTTTCGTTTTGCACTGTTGTTGTTGTTGTTATTTGCCATCGAGTCGGCTCCGACTCATAGCAACCCCTTCTTGGGTTTCCGAGGCAGTATCGCTACGGAAGTAGGATTGCCCAACCTTCCTTCCGAGGAGTGGCTGGTGGGTTTGAACCGCCAGCCTTCTGGTTAGCAGTCAAGTGCCTTAGGCACTATGCTACACTAGACCCTATGAATTCTCTTTCCATCAATTGAAAGCTTCTATTCTGAGTGGCAGCCTCATTCTTCTGGCTGTCAGAGCATCTCACAGCATTCTAAATGCCCCTGTGACCCTCAGCATCTTATTAGACCAGGCCAGATTGGAAAGTCCAAACTGCCACAACTTTAACCCCCCTCAAAATGTAATTCCTGATTACTGGATAGACAAAAAATTCTGTAGTCACAACAGAAGCAACTATAGCTCATAATGACAGGAGCAGCAGTATCGACATACCTTGTCAAGCTCTATTATGTGCCAGGCATTGTGCTAGAAATGAATGATATAGCAGAGGGAAAACATAGATTAAATCTGTTGTACAATTTAGAGCCTGGTGAGAAAGACAGTAATTCATCAAGTCACACCCCCACACACACATTTTTAATAAACTGTGATTAGGAAAAGTACAGGACTCTAATGAATGTGTGCTAATGCGAAGTCTGAACTAGTGAGAGCCAGAAAAGGGTTTTCTGTCTACTGGCAACTCCAGTCCTGGTGAGCAAGTACCTCATGGCTCACAATAAGGAATTTTTCACATTTGGATTTTATTTTATTATTATTATTTTTAATGAATTGAAGAACAGCTATGAGATATTACTCTTCATTGTGATAAATGATTAGCTCTGGTAGTTCTTGTTAGCCACCATTGAGTTGGTACCCTGTCCCACACCTGTTCCAGCAACAGAAATCCTTGTCTTCTAAATAATAGCTACCTTTCTAGGATAGTATGGAATGACTGGTGGTTTTCCAGTCTCATCAAGCCTTTGTTCACGTATTTCTTTCATATAAAATTCAATTCCATCCCATCTTTTGCTACCCAGCTAACTTCTTTTATTCTTCAAAACTGGTCTTCAGGAATTTACTGCTCTTGGAATCTCCTTTGACCCCTATAGTCTGATTTAGATTCCCAGACCCTATGTCATATTCCTATGGCATTCTTCCCTAAGGAATTATTGACAGACTTGTCTGCCTCTTCCATTAAGCTATGAGTTCTACTAGGGCAGGGACCATGCCATGTTCATCTTGTTTTCCCCAGTTCCTGGTGCAATTTTTTTTTCACTTTTTTTGTGGTGAAAACATACATAACAAGACATTTGCCAACATAACAACTTACACATTTACAGCTCTGGGACATTGATTACATTTTTCATGTTGTCCCGCCATTATTGCCATCCTTTTCCAAAATGTCCCACTACCTATTAGCATAAACTCAATGCTCCCCAAACAAATGTTTCCCATTTTCCCCTCAAACTTACTCCTGGTAACTCCTAATAATCTTTGATATATGTATATGTGTATGTGTCTGCGTAGATATGTGTATATATATATCTTTTTTTTTTTTTCAATCTATCTAGAAATTTTCTCACACTTCCCCTCCCATTCCTGGTAACCAAAAAAGAAAGTTTCCTTCTATGTATAAACCTTTCTTTGACATTTTACTATAGTGTATGAATACAATATTTGTCCTTCTGTGATTGACTTAATTCACTCAACATAATGTCCTCCAAGTTCATCCACATGATGTGGTGTTTTGCAGATTCTACATTATTCTTTAGTGTTGCATAGCATTCCATTATGTGTATGTACCACAGTTTGTATATCCATTCCTCAGCTGATGGGTGCTCTTCATTATTGTGAATAGTGCTGTGATGAACATGGGTGTCCATATATCTATTCATGTCCTGCCTCACTTCTTTAGCATATGTACCTAGTAATGAGATTGCTGGATCAAATGGTATTTCTAATTCCAACTTTTTAAGGTCTCGCCATACTGCTTTCCATAGCTGCTGTATCAATTTACAGCCCAATCAGTAATGTATGAGAGTCCCAATCTCTCTCCAGCCTTGCCGGCATTTGTTATTTTCTGTCTTGTTGAACTTTGCTATTACTGCTGGTAGAGATGGTCTCTCATTGTTGTTTTGATTTTCATCTCTCTGGTGGTGTAGTGCCTAAGGCATTTGACTACTAACCAGAAGACTGGCAGTTCAAATCCACCAGTCACTCCTCAAAAGGAAGAGTGGGCAATCTACTTCTGTAGATATACCACCTTGA